AGAAGAGAAGAGAAGAGAAGAGAAGAGAAGAGAAGAGAAGAGAAGAGTGTAAGATTGCCTATTTCTTGGGCCTAACCTGCATATTTGGTTACTCTGGAATTTAATATGCCTAGTAGAATTATGACAGAAATTCAGGACACCAGTAGAAATCTAACAAGCACATGTATTTAAAATTTGTTTTTAAAGTCCAATTGGTTTTTAAAGTCTAATTTCCCCTTACACTAAAATTCAGTTTGCAGATGTTGCATGCTTTTCTTTTTACTTTTATCAGAGTAGGGATGGGACGGTTTATCTTCTGAGGTTCTATCAGCAACAGAGCAGTTAAACTTTCCAACTATGAATTTTAAACTACTTCATGCAGTATTTGTATTAACAGATGAGCAAGAAAGAATGCACGGAAGAAAGCTCAGCCTGATGCACGTGGACAGGAAGCCACGTGACAATAGGCTGTGCCTTTGTGTCATGGGAACACTGCTATCAACTTCAGAGGAGCCATGACTTGGCTTTCCGACGGCACGTCCAGAGCTCCTGCCAGGGCTGCTGCCATCCACACTACCCGATGTCCTACCAGCTTTCAGTGGGAAAAGACCCCCAAGTCTTCACATATATCGCTATTCCTCTGCCTAGAAAAGTCAGCAGGTAAAAAAAAGAAGAAAGAAAGAAAGAAAGAAAGAAAAAAGAGCTCCCTAACATCAATGAGCATTGACCAGGTGTTGGGCCCCAGCCCCATTGTGCCATTCTTTCTTGCCATTCGTGAAAAGAAACAAGAATGTGACATTACTAATGGCAAATAACAGTCTTGATTACAAGTTTTATGTGTTATACAGTTAGATTAGTTTATACCTATAACTCTACATAGTATTTTGTGTAAAAATAGCTTTGGAATATTAAAATCATTGCAATAAAATACCTGCAATATAATTATTAAATGTGTTCTTTGGTAGCTAGTCAACTTTTATGGATGGAATAGTTTCCCTTTTTTAAATCTGAACACTCCTTAACAAACAAAGAGAATGCACTGGTTTAGGTACCATTCAAAATTTCTCTGCCTAGTTTGAACTCGTGTCCGGGCATCGTGCCGGGGAAGCTCAAACACCAAAACAGCAAAAATCACACTACCATTCAAATGCATTCGGACGACTCCACGCCTTGCTGGCCATGCCGCGCACGACCCTCTCTGCCAACCAGCTCTGACTCAGTCCCTACCACCAGTGTGTACACAGCACGGACACACTGCACACCTTCATGGCGATCGCTGTGGAAATGAAGAGCCATATCTGACAAGATGTCCATTCAATGACAAGAAATCACTATGCTCCAAACCACTACACAGCCAAGGACGGTGGAGATGATCATGGATGAAGGTGTGAGACCAGTGGTCTACTTTTCTTCTCTTCGTGTTCCACTTTGTTCATTCCATTTCACTCACTTCTTTCCTTTATTTTTTGCAAGTTGTCATCCTACTAAAGCGTGTGTCTTAGAACAAAGTCATAATGCAGGTGAAATAAGTCTTTGGTTTCTTTGGACTTATAAATAACATTTTTTTCAAATAGTTCTAAGTATAAACCTGCTATCTTGAGGTCCCGGTCTGTCTTTATTTATTTATTTATTTTTAAAGCTTTTCCACCGAGGTTTAGTTTGTGGTAATTCCTTCATGCTTTGGTACAAGTGCTTGATGAAGATGAGTTGCCTGAATTGGAGCTGCCCTCGTCTTGCCACTTATCCAGACTCCTCCTCCGTGCATTCATGAAAAAGTTGCTGACGGTGCTCAGCTCCAACCCGAGCTGCTGGGAAATGGTGATTTGTAATTCTTTGGATGGACGCTTATTTTCCTTGAATATTGCATGTAGAGTTCGACGCTGGACATCCGTGAAGACCAACCGAGGCTTTTTGGGGGTATTCCCTCTGTCCTTCCCGTGCTCTTGTTCTTTCCTCTTGCACGCTGCAAGAAAGCGGAGCACTGGTTAGAGGTCTGGCAGAGTGGTAAATGACAACCAGAATAAAAGGAGCATTCACTTTGGCTTCTACATTTGGCGAGGATGTGTGGCATGGGATAAGACATGCACTTACATGCAGGTTTTGTGGGTCCACCGACAGGCACTTGCACAAGTCAGTTTAAAGACAAGTTTAAGGGTTTATTTTTTAACACACTATAAGCTATGAAAAATTAAGGGAAATAAATTAAAAAATGCCTTTGCCATTGTCTGCTAAAACCCAGTGAAGCTGGCCCTGAGAGGTTAAATTTTGACATGGTTGAAATATGCAACATCCCTCGAACGTAGAGTGGAAATTCACAGAGCTCTTAAGTCAATCTTTCCTACATTTTTAATCCTCGCTACTTGCGAATCCATTTCTGTTTTGTTGTTGCTGATGGTTTTCCTCTGTTTTTTGGCTGAGAAATAAGGAACTGGGAGAAAACAGGACCCCGATACCATCTCACAGCTCAGAATGATGACTAAAAGAACCATCTTTTCACACAGAACAATGGCACACCAACTCTTCCTTACGCAATTCCACTTTCTTCTGTCCTCTCTCTCCCTTCCGCTCCCTTTCAGAGAGCCGTTACACCACACACCACTGACAGGCCGTACAACCCCAGATCTGCCTTGCAGATCACCTGCTCGGCAGAAACCAGGGAGCTGGGAGCACAGCTCCAAGTCCCCTGCAGCCTTTGACCGCCTGCCAGCTCATATTGTTAGCATTTAGCCAGGATAAAAAGGTTCCCTGGGAGGACAGATTGGTCTGTCTCACTTTCAAAAGAGTCTGAAGTTGTCTGTTTCCTCTTTTTTTTTCTGCTCTAACAGTGTCCTTTAATGCTGATTTAGGGAGGCATTTCTGAAAAGAATATGGATGTTCTGCCTTTGTTTCTGTGGAGATCCTAGCCCTTATTTCTGTGGAGATCAGTGCTGATCATATTAAAACCACCTATCTCATGGATACAGAATGAAGACAACAAATCATTTTACAAAGATCCTTCCTCCACCTTTTATTGTTACCCAGGGCCAGCATTGTCACGAGGGTGTATCTGCTTGAGGGAGACAGAAGAACGGTCACCCACCGTCTGCCCCTCCAGTTGCCTTCCAGCCCCATCCATGCAGATGCTTTTGCAGAGGCTAATGGTGTGGGTCTCAGCCACGCACCCCTCCATATGATCATAAGGACTGATGTGCCAGACTCACATCTTCTATGGCTATTTTTATCTGAAAACCTTTGAAGAGTGCTTTGAAGTTACATCTTAACCTCTAAAATATGGTATCACTTCTGGGTTGAAAAACAGGTTTGATGCAACAGGTTTCTCACGGAACTAAGCTGGTGAACCCACTGCAGGGATCAGTGAAATAGTTACACTGAATTCAGAAATAATTCTGGGTCCCAACTGGAAGTAAACATTGATAACTCGTGGGTTAAAAATGCTATTGCAGGAATAGTCTGTCAGTTACCAGTTGGTATTCAAAATGAGGAGTGCAGGAGAGAGAGACGGAATCTCAACTTTTATACCCCTCAACATTTGAGGTCAGAAGCTCCTGAGGGAAAAGCTAAAGAGGCAAGCTGAACCCACTCCACATTAGCTGCGCCCAACAGCTCATTTCTACTCACACTGCTTTACACCTTTCCAAAGACAACACAAATCCCAGCTTTCACCTGGACAGACTGTGCAGAGAGACTATCATTTGCCATGCAGCCCCAATTACACCAGCAGTGCGGCCCACATCAGCCAGGAACACAGAGCTGGCTCCCCTGGCTGTGCTGACCTCGGGGCTTCCATCACCACTGAGCACAAGGGTTCTCTGAAATCACAGAGAACAAAACAGCCACATGTTGTGAAACTCGCGTATCATGTCTACCTGAGCTTCTGCTTCTGAGATTTAACATTCCTGGATAATTATTTCCCTAGAAAATGTCTCAGCAGTTACCCAATACCTTGCTCTCAAAGTTCAGCTGTATGACTACTGCTAGCAACATCCCATGGGTAAGAAAAAAGTGCCCACTGCTGAGCAGAATAGAACAAATTCTGTCAGTTCCATGTTGCAAGTAAGCTGAGTTCAGTATGTCAGAGATTTCAGAGTTCAGTATGTCCTGCTTCTCTCCAGTTTGTCCAGCACCTCACTTCGCAGGTGACCGGCGATACCATGCAAGCTGGGACTGACTTCCTATGAGCTGTTTGCTGGCTGATGAAGGGAAGAGACCAAAACAGAACAGCGGGGACGTGGAACTTTCACAAACTATCACACAGGTTGCTGGTTCCAAGGCCTGGCCCATGGTAAAGCTCCCTGGCTCACAGAGCTCACAGCAGGGCTGCCAGGCTTCTGCCTGTGCGGGGAAGGCGGCTCCCGCCTCCATCTTCTGCCTTGTCTGGGCCCGGGAATATTAATAGCACTTAAAAATAAATAATGGTGATAATGAAAAACCGTAATAGGGTTTCCTGACGATCGTTTTTCCTGCATTGGAGCCAATCAATTTTAATAATAAATTATAGCTTCCAGCTTGCCAGGGAACAAATGCGCATAGCGAGGTGAAGCCTGCTGCGAGGCAGCGCTGCCCAGGCGATGCCCACACAGCAGCAGCACCCGCTGTGGCCAGAGCTCCTGTGGCACGGGCAGCTGCTGGAGGCACAGGCCTCACCAACACCAGCTGGCACCTCTTTTGGTAAAACGCCAGAGCCCGTCTTAGAACTGCTTACCACACACTGATGCACAGATGTAAGCACGGCGCAGCATGCACAGCACACAGTGCAGCCAGCCCTGCCCTCCGCACAACAGCAAAGCACCTCGCGATGCCTTTGGAAAGAGCCTAAAGAAAGCCTAGTTTAAAAAAGACAACACAGCAGAGTATAGTCCCTCTGAGCCTGGCAACACAGGTGCAGATATGACAATGCAATATTATCAGTGCTAGAAGGAGCCCTATAAATCCAGTGCTGAACTCTGGCCTCTCCCCGTCACTTCTATCTTCCTGTGCCCTGAGCAGCAGATATTTCTGACACTTGCAATTCTCCTGATACAGCCCATCAATCCAGTTTTGTCTCCCTTTGTTCCTCACGAGCCGCCTGAGGGATGTGGCTGCGCTCACTTGCTGGCGCTGGGGAGCTCTGCACATCTCCTCACTGCTCTGAGCACGCTGTCCTGCAGTCCCACCACAGCCGTGTCCAGGAGGCTGAGCCAGGAACTACACACAGGAGGAGGCCGTAGGAACCCTCAGTGGCACAGCCGCTTTCAAGCACCTAGGGGAGATGGAGCTGAGGCACACACATCTGCAGGATCAGCGGGTAACAGCAAGGGAGCACGCAGCACCCTGAGGGCTCCCTGCTTCACGATTCCTTTTCAAGATGGAAAGACAGCCAAGAACACTGAGACACCAGACACTGCTGGTGTGGGGGAGCAGCCACTGGGACAAAGCACAGCAAAACATCACTGTCCATAAGCACAGCATTTTTCCTTCAGACAAGCAGGAGAAAAAAAAAAATAACAGCATTATGCCTCTCTCAGAGGCTCCAGTGCAGGGTTCTCTGGAAGCAGTGTGGAGTTCACGCTGCACCAGGAACCAGCCAAAGTGCTGCAGACCAGGATGCTGCAGGAAACACAAGCAGGCATGCGGGAGATTGACTTGAGAGTTCTCACAAGTTTTGTGAAGGTCCCTTTTCCCCCTCCTCTGGCAAAATGAAATCTTTTTGCTATTCTGACTCCATCTGTGCAGGGCATGTGTCACAGACATCAAAACCCTGTCAGAGTTCCCTTCTTTAATGCATTTTCTGATCTTTGCCACGTTCCATCTGTAGAATCTGGCACCTGCCTTGGCCATCCAAATGGGGCCCACCAACACCCTGGGACTCTAAATCACCTGCTTTCCATTTGAAACGCTGCAACACATCCAACAGCAATTTCAGAGAGGGAAAAGCCTTCAGCAGTACAGCCCAGAAAGTATCCTGGGGGGAAATTCCTCCAGAGGGGGCTGCCTTTGGCAGGCCAGTGGGGTTTCCATCAGAGGCTGAGCCTGGTTCAGACATCAGAGGTGGTCCCAGTCACATGGCTACAGGACATGCTGGGAGTGAGTAGCCAAAAGTATATGGCAAACTCAGAGTGATGATAACATACAATTAAGGGTAATAAGCTCCATCCTTGTCATGGGAATAACACCTCTGTAGCAGGCAGAGAGATCTTTCCTAATTGCTAAAACCTCCTATTTGGGGAGAATATGAGAACAAGATGAGGGGCCTACAATAGACAAGCTGCCTTGCCAGAGACCTCACCACATGAGCTAAAGGCAGGCAGTTCTCTTCTCTAGATCCTCCCGGTACCATCCAGCACTTTGTCTCTCTGGGAATCTGTATTTACATCACTTGCTCTGGATCTTATTTCTCTGCCATCACACCCCTTTTGCTGTTCCACAACATGAGAAGAGTTAAGGATGTATCTGCAAGGGAAGCTCACAGCCCAACATCACCCTGCCAACGCATGGATCCCAGCTGAGACTGCCAGTGCCAAACACCTCACTGCTTGCACTGTATTAAAATCTGACCTTAATTTGCTGCCAGCGGAATAACAAAGCAAGGTGGGCTCAGGCGTGATGACTCTGCAGTGGGGTTCCGGGCTCCACGTGCCCGCAGTGCTGACAGACCCGTGAGCACCTGCATGAACTGCCACGGCCACCCAGGGCCTGCCGCTAAGTGGATCAATGGGGGAAGCACCCGATATTCCTGCTATATCATTTAAAGCAAATGCTGAATTTCTGGAGCCGGGTCTTTAGTTAACCATATTACTGTGACAAATATTTCTTTGTCTAGCATAAGTAATTAGAATTTAATCACTTTAACGGCATCTTAATTACCTCAAATGAATTGAAAGGACATTTAATAGCAAAGATTAAATTGCCTTAATGAATGATTTTTGCGACTCCATCAATATGTTAATCACGTTAGCCCTTCCTTTCCTACGAGCGCTGGCGGCTGCCGGCCCCTGGGTGGCGACCTCGGATCGCCGCTTCCGCGCCGTGCAGCTCCGGCTGCACCGCCCCGCAGCGCCCGGCTGCGGCCGCCCCCGCAGCCCCTCGCCTCGCTGCCGTGCGGGCGCCCCAGCCCCGGTTCCGCCGCAGCCGCCGAGATGGGGTTTCCGGGCTGTGGAAGTGACGCGCTCCGCTCCCAGAGCTTCGCTGGGATTTTAAAGGCCCTCGAAGGCACGTACCGAGCGGGCGGCACTCGGACTTGTTTCCTAAGGCCCGACCCCACTTCTCCCCCGCTAATTGGAAAGCCCTTCGTCAATTCCGACAGTACTCAAACAGCGAGAGCTGCCCTGCGTCCTTGAGACGGCTGTGCCACCACCGGGTCCCCACGCCGGAACACTGCAGTGCGGCTGCTGCCGTGTTGCGGCCGTGCCCCAAGCTCCGGGCGGACCCTCGCAGCCCCCGCTCTGCTCGGTGTCCCCCGCAGCGTGTGCCCGAGCGGTGCCGGTGTGAGAAGCATCGCGGGGCCGACCTCCTCGGGAGCGGGACACCTCGAGTGAGCTTCGTTGCAGAAGAATTTCGCTAAGACCGTCGCCTCTCCGTCGGGAGGTGATCTACCCCGAGACATCGATGTCTGCGGCGAAATCGCCGCTCTGGATCTGCGCACGCGGAGGTGCGGAAGCCACAGAGAGCCAGCGGGAGCCCGGAGCTCACCGGGAAGAGACACACCCGGTACCGCGCTGCCCCGAGGCGGGCCACGAGCACGCGGCTCCCGCGCTCGAAACGACTCCGTCCTTGCGTGGGGCCCGCGGGGTTCCGCAGCCGAAGCCGAGCGCTGTCAGTCCCGGCGACGCGCGCACAGCCGCACCGCCCGACGGCTCCGCGCGCTCCCACGAACCCTCGGCCGAGTCCCCCGGGCGGCCCCGCGCCGCCGGTAACTGTCCGCAGTGCTGAAGCAGCCGCCATCCAGGCCGATCCCGAGCCCGCACGCCGCCGCACGCCGTCATCCGTCCGCCCGCCCCGTCGGCGTGTCCCGGCCCGGGCAACCGCCGCCCGGCGCGGAGGCGGTCAGTAGAGGGCGCAGAGCCGACGGGAACGGCGGGTGGCACTTGGCCGGGGCAGTTCGACGGCAGCCCCCGGGCGGTGCGAGCAGAAGGGACAGAGCGGTTCCGAGGCCGCTTCGTCAAAATCGCAGCGGATCGGAATGAACGAACGGACGAACAAGGGAGAGGCGGGAGCCGCCGGGCCGACACTAACGAAGGGCGAATGCGGTGCGTGCGAGCGGCTGGGAGTCGGTCCCACCACAGTGACGTGGCTGGAGAACACGGGGCCCACAGCGGCACCGGGCTCCAGAGCGGGGCGGGCGGCCCTCGTCAGATTCCATATAAATGCGGAGAACGCTCTGATTATGGTATTGATTTCTTTAGAGTTAATTTGGTGAGAAACCCTCGCAGGCTGCCCAGAGCTTGGCTTGGCTGAGATTTCGTTTGGGAGAGAGAAAGGAGACGGGGAGGAGAGAAAAGATGCGTAGGTACAGACAGCAACAGCCCGGTCACCGGAATGCAGCGGGCGGGGAGAAGAAGGAGAAGAGAGGGTACCGCCGCGCTCAGCACCCCCGGAGCAGAGGCCACCCCCGAACCCCTCCAGACGGCCCGCACCGCTGGGAAATACCGCGGAGGAGAACCGCTCGGAAATGCCGACGGGCCGCGGCAGTGCCGGGCACTTCCTTCGAACCGCGTTTCTTCTTGGAGCCCTTTCGCTGCCCTCCAGGTGTCAGCGGCGGCGGTGTGGGGCCGAAGGAAGAGCGAGCGAGAAACAGCCGAGCGGAGACGTACTGAGCGATATGGGGGGGAGTGGAAGGGCAGACAAAGAGAGAATGGAGAGGAGAGGGGACATAGGGTGAATAAGATGGAGGCTGAAAGAGGTCAGCGCTGCTCACGCTGCGAGACGCAGCCCGGGGAAGCGCCGGGGCCCCAGAGCAGCTTCCACGCAGACCCCGAGCCCTCTGACTGCTGGAGTGTGAGGCGGAGACACAGGGAGGGTCCCCCCCGAATCCCCCCATCGCCTGCGGCCCTGGGACACCGGCGGGAAGAAGCCGGGCGTTTTTCCTCCGCCAACTGTCCGTAAACGCCCGGGAGTGAGCTATAATTGGGACGTGAAATTTAATTGCCGCCGACTGGAGTAATTTATGATATTCTGAATTGACGTTCATACATCATTATCAGTCCGGGCAGGTTTTTACCATTCGGTAAGGTCATCACACATGTAAAACCTGCACGAGATGAGATCGATAGCTGACGCACTCACAGAGGTCGCCCGCCGCCCGCCTCTCTTAAGCCCGCCTGCATCCCTTCCTGCCAGCGGCGCTCAGCGCGCGGGCCAAATCCTGCGGGCCGGAGGAGCGCTGCGAGGACCGCCCCCATTGGCTGGGATACGCCGCTATGCAAATGAGCACGTGCGGCGGGCGGCCCAGGTGGGGCCGGGCGGGGCGGCGCGGGGCGGGGCGGGGCGGGCGCTGGAGGGCCGGGCGCTGCTCCCCGCGTCCCCTCGGCCCCGGGCAGCCGGAACGGCTCGACCCCGGCAGGCCGCTTCTCCGCGGTGCCGGCCGTCCAGTAGCGTCGGAAGGGGGACGCGAAACGACGAGGCTTTGTCCCTCTGCCGGGACCGCCCCGCTCTGCCGCCCGGGTGCAGGGGCGCACCGGGAGCGAACAAAGGGCCGCGCGGCCCCGCGGGGAGCCGCTCCTCAGCGATCCGCGCACACGAGCGGGGCTCGGGGCGTACGACACGGTTCGTACGGTTCGGCCCTAAGGTCGTTGGGCGACGTCGGAAGCGGCCCCCATCCGCCTCTCTTCAGCGCCCGCGGGACGGGGCTGCGCGGCTCCCAGAGAGCGCAGGAGGCGGAAAGGGCGCTGCCGAGCTCGGACCTTGGACGCCAAGCGCGGCCGAAGCCGAGGTGGCGCGGGAGGAACAAGGGATCCGCGCCGCGTCTCAGAGGTGCCGCTCCGCCCCCGGCCCCGAGCGCAGAGCCGGGCCGAGCGCACCCCGGGGGTCCCCCGGTTGCCGGCACCGCGCGTCGGTGCGTTTGCGAGTGGGGAGACGAGCGGCTTCCCTCGTTGTTTTCTCCGGAACGGATTGGTGACCCCGGCGGATCGACTGTCTCGCGTTCTCCAGGGACAAATTAGTGGAGACCTATCACTTAATTAACAGCCCCTTGCTCACGGCATATTAAACCCGCGTCCCGCACAAGCCGGGGGTGGGAAGGCGCGGGGAGGCCACGGGATAGGAGACGCGTTCCGCTTCGTTCGCCGCACACGGCGCCCGGCCGGGCCCTGTCCGCGGCCCGGACCTGCCCGGACGGCCGCGGGGCGCTCCTTTCATCCCCACACCAAAGCCACAACGCTCCGCGCGACGATCACCACAGCAATCCGTTAAAAACCGAACGACTCCAGTCGACGGCGTTGCTCCTGCACGCCGGGCCCGCACGTCTGTGCGCGACTCTCGTTCCGCAGCACCCGCCGGGCACGGGCGGACATAGAGCCCCGACCCACTCCGAGCTCCGGCCTCGCTGCGCTCCCCGAGCCCGTGGGCGCGGCGTTGGGCAGCGCAGAGCCCGGGCCCCGTTCCGGCCGCGCAACGCCGCCGATTCCTCCGCTGCGGGAGGCCCGAGTCACGGCGGGACAAAGCGGAACCGGCAGCGGCACTGCCCGGAGCTGCACTGCGGCCCTCCCGGAGGCGCTTCTCCGCACCTGCGGCCACCGCGTGCGTCGGCGCCCGGTGTGAGCTCCGCAACCCGCGGGCACTTCGGGCACCGCGCGGGGACACGGGGCCGAGCGCGGCCCGAACGGGGCCCAAGCCACCCCCGCACGGCCGGGCACAGGCGCGGGGCCCGTCCCGTCCCGCCGCGGCTCCGCTCACCTGCCAGCCGCAGAGCAGACATCCGCTGGAACTCGGGCTCCTGGAGCCACTTCCACATCCTGCGGAAGGTCTCCCGGCCGGACTTGAGCTTGCTCCAGGGCTTGGGGTTCCTCAGCAGGTCCGAGAGGGTCCCCTGGGAGCGGCACAGCACCCGCTGGGCAAAGATGGCCTGGGGGATGCTGTATCGCTTGAGCTCGGTGGTGATCCTCTGAGCGACTTCTTTGGTATTGATTTCTTCCATTTGCCCTGAATTGCTCCCGCCGCCCGCCTGCGAGCCCGCCACCGCAGGGTTCTGCTCCCGGCCGGGGCCCAGCAGCTGCCCATGGCCCTGCGCGCCCAGGTGGCCGTGCGGGGGGTGCGGGATGCCGCCCAGGGGCACCATGCCGGCGGGCGGGGCGCTCAGGTGCTGCTCGCCGTGCCGGCCCAGCATGGCGGGGTGCGGCGCCTCGAAGCCGGTGGGCGTCAGCATCTTGTCGGCGGGCATGGCGGCGCCGGGGTGCGCGTAGTGCGGCAGCGCCTGCTGCGAGCCGTGCACCGAGCCCAGCCCCGAGCCCGACAGCGGCGACAGGCTCTGCCCCATGCCGGCCACGTCCTTGTGGTACGGCGCGTAGAGGTTGTTCATGGGCGCCAGGCCCCGCTCGTCCCGCATGAGCGTGAAGCTGCCGCTGACGTTGCCCGGGAGGCGCTGGTGCGGATGGTGGTGATGGTGGTGGTGGTGGTGCGGAAACTTGTCCGACACCGTGGAGATGGGCGGCAGCGGCTGCAGCGGAGTCAGCGTGGTGTAGGTGCCGCTCATGCCCATGCCGGGGGGCGTCTCGCAGCCCATGCTCATGGCGGGATGCAGCGGCCCCCCCAGCCCGTGCTCGGCGGCGCGGTGGTGGTGGTGGAAGTCGCCGCCGTCCAGCAGCGCCATGCCCGCGGGCCGCGCGGGGCCGCCCAGGTGCCCGCGGGGCGGCACGGCGGCGGCGCGGGGGTGCGCGGGGCCGCCCAGCAGCTCGGCGCCCGGCTCATGGCTCACCGCGTGCAGGTCGCCCATGCTCTCCATCGCCAGCTGCGCGTTCATCGCGGGCCGCGCACATCCGTGTGGTGCGGCGGGCGCGGGCCGGCTCCTCCCGCGGGACGCGGCGGCTCTGGAGGGGTCTCGGTGCCGTCGCCGCTGGGTTGGTGGCGCTTGGGTTTGATTTTTTTTTTTTTTGGTGGTTAACTGAGTTTTTCTTATTTTTTGCGGGACGACGCCGGCTCGGTCCTAGGGCCCCCGCTCCCTCAGGCCAGGCTCCGCAGCCGCGGCGGCCGTCCGCCCGCGCCCCTCGCCA